ATCGGCGGCGTCCTCCTGCAATGAATCGGTGCCGGCCATGCCCGGCACGTTCACCAGCGGCATCCACTGGCTTTTGGTTGCAAAGGCAGCGATGGCAATCACCAAGAGGCAGCCGATTCCGAGCAGATAGGGACCCCACCACCGGCGGGACTTCTGTGTTTGCTTTTGAGGGGCCGACATAGCCGATGCTCCACGAGTCCACCCCTACGCATGACAGCGTGGATAGACGCGATGTTGGACGGAGGATACTACGCGGACAGAAAACGTCAGCGTAGAAAGAACCACACAAGAGGGATGAGACATGCTACGGACGCCTTGATTAAGGCGTGCAGCGTCTCAAGAAGTGGCTCAAATCCGAATGACACTCAACGCAAGATGCGAGCGCACCGGTAGCGCAAAGTGGACATCATCGACTGAGGAGCTTTGCAGAGGTCGATGAAAATCGAAGCCTTTTGACTGATCCACCCCGCAGTTGCCGAGCGCAAACCAAACGGTTAGCTGCGTTAGATCGAGTCCACTATCGCTGTGCGTGGTCCACACACAGCTATTGTGCTGGCAGTTATGCGGCGCCTCGGGCGCCGGTTCGTGCTGGCAGTCGCTAGGACCTAACTCCAAGATGGAATACGCCTCACCTTGCCCAGCATGGTCCTCTACGCTCGGTTGCTCAACCCTATGTGAGCTGGCATTCGCGATCTCACCATGCCCCTGACCGCAATCTGCGTGGTCGGCTGCATGGGCTTCGTGCGCGCAGCAGCCCAGTAGGGCATGGGCCAAAATGGCCACGGCTGTCAGGCTACGAAGGATGCGACTCAAAATCGGGACTACTCAACTGGCACAAGGGAAGTGGCTAGAACCTTAATCTTACTCGACGACTACTTATGGGTCTACGTCATCCGGACAGGCGTCTTCAACGGGCATCCAGGCTGCCCTCAAGCAGCAAGCCTTCGATCCGGACATAACTCCGCCAGAGGTTTCCCAGGGCGTCGAGGTAAATCAGGTTGGTTTGCGAGTAGGTCTGCTGAGCGACCAAGAGGTCGAGGTATCCGACCTCCCCTTGCTGAAAGCCGCGTTGGACGAGATCGAAGGTTTTCTGCGACCGGGGAAGGAGTTCTTCGGCGTAGCTGGTAGCGGTGACTTGAGCGTCCGAATACTCTCGAAAAGCATTGGCCAAGCGTTGGTTCAAGTTCAACTCAACGCGATCGACGTTCCGCACCGCCTCGGTAACCTCGGCCTGCGCCTGGCGAATCCCTCCCTGATTGCGGTTCCAAATCGGGAGCGGAATGCCGACTTGCACACCGGTGATTGTGTCGGTTGTCGAGGCATCGTACTGCACCGAGACCTGAGTGCTGATATCGGGGATTGCTTCGACACTAGCCCGATCCAATGCGCGCCGGGCACGCTCAACGTCGGCCATCGCTGCAGCCATCTCAGGGCTTTCGTTGCTAATTCGGACTAGCTGCTGTTGCCAGTCGAGGGTCTCGGGTAGCAGCGTGACGTCGCCGTCGAGCGGCTGAATCGGTAAGTCAGAGCCGCCGACCACCGCACTGAGTTGGCGCCAAGCTTGCGAGAGCCCATTCGCAGCGGTTCTCGATAGCACAATGGCGTTTTGCTGTTGAACTTCGGTTTGCAAGAGGCCCGCGAGCGGGATTTCTTCGGCCTCAAGAAGTGACTTGGACGCCGTGACCGCTTCCGAAGTCACACGCACCAATTGGTCTGCTAGTTCCACTCGGCGTTGGGCGAGAAGCGCTTCGTAGTAGCTCCGCCTCACGTCGGTTTGCACCCGCTGCTGAATTTGGACGAGTTCTTGCTCGGCGCGGGTGATCTCAGCGGCAACGACTGCTCGGTTGCGCTGGAGCTTGTGTGCGGTGATAAACGTCTGACCCGCAAAACCGCCCTGCTGACCCGCCTTTCCATCATTGCCAACTTCTCCGGCACTGTAGCCCGCCGTTGGGTTTGGCGCTAAACCGACTTGCACCCACTTGCCCCTGAGCGCCCGCACCCGCGCTTCGGACTGGGCGATCGCTGGATTACTCCCAAACGCCATCTGCTCCAGAGCGGTCAACGTCAGTCCGCTAGCAGACGGTAAGCGTTCAGGGGCGTTTGTACTGGCTTCGAGAGCAAGCCCCTCGGCGACCGTTGGCGGTTGAATCAGCTCGGGCGTCATGGCTTCTTCATAATCCACCTTGGTGATTGTGGGCTTATTCAAGACGACACTCTCTGCGCCCGGCGTTTCAGTTTGCGTAGCGATGTGCTGTGGTCCTGAGGCACACCCTGTTGCTAGCAGCAGAACCACCGCGCTGTAGATTCGATATTGGGTCATCCTTGACCTCCTTGACGAAAGTTTAGCTATCTTGTGATTTCTATCGGGTTTGTCACTCGACGTGGCCTAGCTAAAACCGAACCGCGTCACTTACGCGTGGCGCAATGCCGAGACAATCTCCGTCCGCGACGCCTGCCATCCCGGCGCGAGCCCCGCGAGGATGCCAACGACGACGGCCACAGCGACACCTTGGATCGCTAGATTGACCGAGGGCTCAAAGGCGATCGTTACCCCTTCGGCTGCTATCGACATCCCGCTGAGCGACAGCAAGAGCACGCTCCCGGCGACGCCTAGGACGCCCCCTAGCGTGCTGAGGAGCAGGCTCTCGGTCAGCACGAGGCCGAAGACACGCAGCGGGCGCAATCCCAGCGTTTGGAGTACGGCGTGTTCCTTGATTCGATCTTGGACGGCCATGACGGTCGTCGTGGCGACGAGCGACAGCACTAAGCCAACGCAGGCGTAGCCGAGCCAATGGACAAAGCCAATCAGTTCCGCGAGGTCGGCAAGCGTATCGGCTTGGAACATACCCTTGGTGCGAGTCGTCGTACCGACAGGGCCAGCGTGAAACGCCTGGTCAATCTGTTTCGCCAGGGCTTCGGGGTCGGCCGTGTCGTTGAGATGCACTTCCAGCATGGTCACGGTGCCGACGTCGTTCGCCCCCCGCGCCCGTTGCAGAAACTCAAGCTGAGTGAAAATAAGGTTGTTATCGGCGGCAGTGGCGGAGTGGAACACGCCTTGCACCACCACCGACACGTCACCAATGGTGAACTTGTCGCCAACACCTAGGCCGCGCCGTGTCGCGACATCAACGCCCACGAAGGCGGCATCGTCCTGACTTGAAAACGCCGACCAGCTACCCGATTGCAAGTCGAGATCGCGCCATGCCTTCAGCTTCTCCGGCGGCATTCCCTGGAACACGATGGCATCAAGGCTGGCTCGGCAGTTGTTCGTAAACACCTTAACCGGCACGACATCTTGCACGCCCGAAAGCTTCGCGATGTCTCCCGCGTAATCCTGCGGCAACCGGCTGCTCTGCGGACAGAAGCGGTTCTCTTGAAAAACGATCAACGTCCGGCCAGCGTCGTCACCCGAGGTCAGTGCGAGCAGCCCCTGCTGCACTGCGCCGATAAAGCAGAAGACCAGCAGCGCCACGGCCGTGCCGCTCACGGTAAGCAGTGTCCGGGCGCGGTGCCGCCAGAGGCTCTTCAAGACGTAAGGGATGAACTTGAGCATGATTAGGCGGTCCGTAAAGTAGCGATATGAATCTCTTTGCCGTTCTCGATCAGGCGACTGCGTTCCAAGCGGATGCGTCGCTTGGCGCGTGAACCAGCGTCGGCGTCGTGCGTGACCATCAAGAGCGTCATGCCGAGTTCGTTGTTTACTCGTTCTAGCAGTTGCAGAATCTGTTCAGTCGTCTCGTCGTCGAGACTACCGGTCGGCTCGTCGGCGACGACAACCGTCGGATTGGCGACGATGGCCCGCGCGATGCCGACCCGCTGTTCTTGACCGCCCGACATTTGACGCGGGTAATGCGTGGCCCGCGAAGTCAGGTCTACCGCTTCGAGAGCAATTTCAACCCGCTTGCGGCGCTCGGCCGCCGACATCGGCAGGAGCAGCAGCGGCAGCTCGACGTTCTCGTACGCCGTTAGCACGGGGATCAGGTTGTGGGTCTGAAAGATGTAACCGATATGGGCGGCCCGCCAGTCGGCCAGCTTGCCGCGGGAGAGTTTGGTGATATCGGTATCGGCGACGACAATCTCGCCCGAAGTGGCCCGGTCGATGCCGGCAATCAGGTTCAAGAGCGTGCTCTTTCCCGAGCCGCTGGCGCCCATCAGAGACACGTANNTCAAGCTGACGCCGTCGAGTGGACGGATCGTCTCCTCGCCGTTGGCGTACTCTTTGGTGACATTGGATACTTCAACGAGGGGCATAGTGAACCTGCTTTCGGAGGTTAGTGTTTCGGAGCTAGTTGACTTCGCTAACGGCTGCTTGAGCGGTCAGGGGGGCGGGGCGTGTTGATTGCGAATTCCACGCGCCCCCTGCGAGGCTTTTGTCTTCGCCAGATACACGAACACGCGAGCCCTCGGCGACCGATTCGCGACCTGCGACGATCAACTTGTCGGTGGGGAGCAGGCCGCTCGTGACCTCAACAAGACCGTCCTCAGTCGCGCCATGTCCCACTTCGACCGCTTTGCGCTTCGCGACCCCCGCTGTCAGATCGACGACCCAGACGTTCGCGCTACCTTCACCCGTCGAAACCAAGGACTGCGGCACGAACAGCTTCAGCGGCGACTCGCTCGGCTCGCCCTCCATCACTGGGGATGGGGGCGCGAGGAAGGTCACTTTGCCCAACATTTCTGGCTTGATGACCGCCGGAGGGTCTTTGATCGCCACTTTGACTTGGAGCGTGTTTTTTTGGATGTCAGCGAACGTGGTAACCGAGACCACCTCTCCTTCAATGGGTGCGCCCAAGGCGGCGGTTTCGATTTGAGCCGGTTGACCAATCAGCACTTGGGGTACGTCTTCTAAGCGGACATCCACCCGGACTTGCAGACTTTGGGGATCATAGAGCCCCGCGACGGCGCTCGTGCCCTGCGCCGAACCGATGCCAGAAAGCCACTGCCCAGGCCGCGCGTCGAGGCTGAGGACGCAACCGTCAATGGGTGAGCGAACGATCATCCGCGCCATGGTCAACTCGGCTACTTCTACGCGGAGGCGGGTTTGATCAAGTCGCGCCATTGCTCCCGCTAGATTCGCTTTGGCTTCGGCGACGGCCCGCGTCTCATTGGTCAGCAGCCGAAGCTGCTCACCCAGTGCATCCCGTTTTTCTCGGAGCGATCTGGCTTGGGCTTCGAGCTTCGGCTCGCGAGCGACCAACTCGGCAAGCGTGTTTTTCGCCGCCGCCAGCTCGGCGCGGGCTTCGCGTAGCACCCGCCCAGAGATTGCCTGGCCGGCCAGCTCTTTTCGACGCTCGTTCTCCGTCGCTAGTTGGAGCCGCGAGCGTGCGGTTTCGATTGCGTAGGGCAGGTTGCTGATGGCGACTTCCGTTTCGTGAAGCCTCGCCCCTGCCTCAGCAAGAGTCGCTTGCGACTCGGTAGGCCGCGCAAAGTTCGTCCTTGCCGCAGCGAGCGTGGCTTCGGCGCGACTCACCTCGGCTTCCTGTAAGGCATGAGCAGCGCGTGCCTGGGCAAGCGCCAGCTTGGCGTCGGCGTCTATGAGTCGGGCGACCGGCTCGCCTTGCTTCACGTGCTGTCCTTCGATCACGAACAACTCCTCAATCACGCCCGCAGCAAGCGCGGAGGCCATGACTGGGGTTGGCCGCGGTTCGATCCAGCCCGCCGCCTGAAACAACGGCGTTCCTTCTTGCTTGACCTCGGCCCGACTAACCACCACCGGGGTAATCGTGATCGATTGGGCGGGCAAAAAGCTGTCTCGTGCAGCCCAGCCGAACAAACCGACGAAGCCCGTAAGAATGCCCAGCGGTAAAACGTATTTCGTGAACCAAGAGCGCTTGATCCGGATGCCCGATTTGTTGGCCGCACCGCTGCGGTCAACGGCAAGTTGGCTGAGATCGAGTTGTGAAGATTGTTCTGACATAATTCTTGGATGCCTCTCGCATCGCTGCGTTACGGACGGCAACTAAATGGATTTGATCGCTTCAACAACTGGCAGGCGCATCGCTTTAATCGCGGGGGGCAGCGCGCCGACTACTCCCAGCAGCGCGGCGACTCCGCAGGCTACGGCGATGCCGACACTATCGACCGAGAGCATAAAGGCCCCCATTGTGAACCGAACCGCCGTCCCATCGACGACGAGCAGCCCAGCAAGACACGCCATGATGGCGGCGGCACACGCCAGCAGCGTAGCCTCCTGCACAAGCGTCAGCAGGATGGCTCGGCGACGGAAGCCCAGCGCCTGGAGCGTCGCCAGCTCGCGTATCCGGCCGACCACCGCGCCGTACATCGTATTCAGTCCCGCGAAGATGCCCGAGCCGGCCACTAAAGCCACCACGACCCAGCCCAACATGCGGACCGGTTTGTAGTGCTTTTGCATCGCGGCGTAGTAAGAACTTTCGGCCACCGCCTTAAGTTCCAAGTCGATCCGCTCGCGGCAGAACAACTCCACGTCGGCGGCACCGTCGGGCGATTCCATGCTGACGGCGACNNNCCGCTGATGTTCCAGGTTTGACCGTCGAACGTCACCTGCTGGCCGACTGCCAAGTCTTCCTTGCTCGCGCTAAGCTTCGAGTGCGCCAGCCGACCTACCATCACTTCGCCACGTTGGGGCCAGGCGCCTTCGACGATTTGCACCTGCCCGCGTACGAGCGGCGCGGTCGTCGTGACGCCACGCACGAGCCCCATTCCCGGTTCGGTCGTGCCCGTCGTCGTGATCCGCGTCCCCAGGTAAAGCTCTGGCGAAACGTACTCCACGCCGTGCTGACGACGGACCCCATCGACGCTCGCCGACAACAAGGCGGGCGTCCGTCCGGGGATCGACGAGTTCTCGATGTCGGCGCCCGACGAGAGCGCGTACACGAGCACGACGTTGGGATTGCCGGTCGCGGCGAGCGACTTCTCTAGGCCACGGATGAACCCGACCACGACCAACACGAGCAGCACGACAATCGTCAGGCCGCCGAGTGTTAGCGCACTCCGGGACGGACGGCGGAATAGATTCCGCACGCCGTAGTCCCAGGGGAGCAGTTTTTGACCGAGCATAGGTTCTTCCTTGTAGCGAGCCCGAAGCGAGCGGTTGCTTGCGGCCGCTTAGTTACGGATATAGACACCACTGGCGAGCATCACGAAGTTGCCCGACTTGTCCTTCTGCGCGGTCCCCTTCACCACAACCATGTCGGACTCTTTCACCCCGAGCAGTTCGCGTGAGTCAACCGCCACCAACTTGCCTTGGCCATCGACGACTTTTACGAGCGTCGTGCAGTTCTGCCGATCAACGGCACAACAGTCGTCCAGGCACAGCTCGGTCTCGCCTGAATCTTGGCCGTTGGCGACGACCGACATCGACGGATCGAGCAGCGTAAACGCGGCTCTGCCGTCAATCCAAGGATTTGCCGCGCCGCCGATTCGGCCCACCAGCACCAGCGGTGCGCCGTCTTCGGCCGATTCACGGGCGGCGATCACGCCAACCGCGCCCTCGGGCTCTTCCGCGAGCTTGTAATGGCTCGCGTCGATGCTCGCCGCGGCGTTCGAAACACGAGTTGTTGTGGGAATCGACTTCCCAGAATCCGCCGCCGTACCGCAGCCGACTGCGGTGACAGTTCCTAGTAAGCCAAACAATAGCGTCGAGTGCATTTTTGTCATCTTTGAATCCCTTGTGCGTTGGGTTGTGAAAGGTTTGCTTGCGTGTTCGGATCGTCGGTTTTGGGCGCAGCAGGGGTGGCCCAAGCGATCGATAGCTCACCCTGCTTGCCGGTGACGCTGAGGGGCCGCTCTCCCGCTTTGAAGACCGCGTCGACCAACGCCCACGGCGACAAGCGCGAGTCGGGCCCGGCTTCGACGTGGAGAAGTCCCTGCTGCATATCGACGCTTACCTTGTTCACGCCCTTGGTGGCATACAACTGGGCCGCGATCTTCTGCGCACAGCCTTTGCAGTGCAGGTTGTCGATGGCGATCGTCATTGGGGCCGCAGCAGCGCGGCTAGGGTCATTCTCGTTCGCGCTGGACTCCGCGCGGGAGAAGGAAAAGGTTGCATCGCCAATCACCATCGTCGTCGGACCGCCGTCCCCCTTTTCTGCCGCGTCCCAGAGGCTGCCAAGCGCCACAGCGCTGGGCTGAGGCAGGGTCACGGTAAGGGTGTGCGTCGGCATATCGACACTAACGCTCTGCACGCCGCGAGCCGCGTAGAGTTGCGCCGTGACCTTGCGGGCACAACCCTGACAACACATTTTCTCCGCGACGATCTGCACCTGCTGCGCAGGCGCAGGATTCGCCGCCAGGGCTGTCGTCGTTGGACCTACGAGGCATGACATGACGGCCGCGAACAAGAAATTGCACTTCGTGCGCATAGCTTCTCCTTCATAATCGGTGGTTGTAATAACGCCGCTTCCCTACTGCGCACGTCATCGCGCAGCGGGTAACAACGATCAAACGGGAACGGACCTCTTCCCCGGCGGTGAATAAGGCGTTCGCCAAATTCAAAGGGGTGCGTCACACGCAAGCAGAGGGCTTGCGTCGAAGAGAAATCAAATCAGGAAGCGACAGAGCAGAGCGCAGCGCTCTGCTGAGGTGACTTGTACTAAGTCGCTAACTGATTGAGCGCCCGGGAACTTCGCCCCAGGTTCAAAGGCGAGCAGCGCCGACGCATGGCTAGGCGAGACGCCAGCCAGCTCAAGTTCGGAAGTTTGGGCTCCATCCCTCGGCAGTTCCAACGGCTGTGGCGCTTGCTTGCACCAGCAGCTTGGAGGACAGGGGCATTTACTATCGTGGTGACGCTGAGTGTCACACGACGGCTGTTCCGACGACTTCTCGCAGGAGACGGAACACCCGTGCGAGTGTGAGCAGCCCCCAGCAGCGACCTCGTCGTGGCGACCACTAGAATCGTCCGCGGCAGCCACTGAGCAGGCGCCTAGCTGGCAAAGCCAGTGTCCCTGCTCCGTGCTCGACAACAAGGCGAGCAGCACCCCAAGCAGGGCGACTCCTCGCTTCGTGTTGTGGTAGCAGCGGAACAAAGGTCATTTCCCTGAATCGATAATGCAAGAGCGCATCGTCTGCCTCTTGTTCTTTTCAATCGGGTCGGATCAACCCTAAGTTTAGCCAAATCGCGATCTTGGGGCAAACCCGCTTTGTCCGCGGAAACGCCGCATCCTGGCCTACTCTGACTCGAACGGACGGACAATGGGCCACTCTGTCCGTGGCGGCTGTCGTCTGAAGGGTTTCGCCGTAATCCCTCAGCCTACCAGATAGCTGGCAAGGCTCGTCAATTGAGAGGCGCGGACACCTGACCTCAGCTCCGGCTCGGCAGAAGGGGCATGACGCCACCTCCCGCCATCCCCCTCACGTCGGCCCATACGGCGGGGCGAGGCCGACGTGAGGGTGACAGCGGAAGGGGCGCAGGGCGAGGCATAGGCTGGGGAGGGGCTTGGCATGCCTGGATGGCCACAGGTGGGCTGGTCGGCTGATTGAGTGTCAATCATGCCCCGACTACAATTCGGGTTGCTGTAGAGCTAAGCACCCATGCTGAGGGCCACCCTATGCTTCGTAGTTTCGAATGCTTCATCGGCAGTCGAAAAGTGTAGCGCCCGGCGGGTATGCGATGAGTGCTCGAGTGGCAGGTCGGAGAGGTCGTCGTTTTCGAAATCGAGGTCCCACAGGAACCGCTCGTCGTTAGCGTCCAACAGACCAATCCAGCCTTCTTCGGATTCAAACCCCGTGACATCTTCGTGCGCGTCCAGGGCGTCCACGACCGTTCGTCGCAAGTCGTCCCGCTCTGCCTCCTCAACCTCTCTAAGGATCATGGTCCTGACCTCGTAAAGCACGCTTGCGAGCGTCGCCTGCGACCAAGCTGTCAGCGGCAGGCACTCGGCCGTCTCGTGGAAGAGATGCAGGGCGACGATTTCAAGCGAAGCTAACTGTTGGGACCCTGCTCATTCGGTCGAAAACCGTGGCGCCTTCGAAGCACGACTCTTCGTCGTCAGCCGCACCGACGCTGAGGTCGCACATGAAGAGGATTGCCTCCCGGTATAGCTTGGCTTCGTTGCCTGAGAGAACCA